ACCGCTCTTGCACAAGAGGGAGTGTTTGCACAAAAAGGAGCTGTGTAGATGGCTCCCTTTTGCACAAAAGCCTCTTGTGCAAAAAAGGAGCCTCATTTATTATGCAAACGAGGTGCAGCCATATTCCACTCATTTGCATACTTTTTGTGCAAAACAGTGGGAGTGTAGACATAGCCTTGGTCTTTTACAAGAGCATTACAAGCTAACTACAGGTAAGCTGGGCCAGATGGGGGGTGGTCATTTGGAATTTTTCCCTGGTGTGCTGATCATGCTAGTGACAAGCACCTTCTTGTTCTTTGGAGCTCTCCATCATTCTGTCCAACTGGGCCAGATCTTCTGGTCTTTCCCAGACAATGCAGAGTTGGGATAACTACCCTGCTAAAGAGGAATGCAGACAGTGGACCATGTCAACTCTGGGAGGAAGCAGTTCTAGAGCCCGCTAGTAAACAAAAGGTTTTTTAATAGTATAAAGACTAGAATTTAAGTAGTTGCAAGTGAAAGTAGAGAGCTCAATGTTACTAAAAAAAAAAAGAAACGAAAATGCATGGCTAGTTCTAGTTCACTTAAATACTTATTGCAAGCAGTTTCTTACCCTACAGAGCTGTTCTTACTTCAATCAATTCTTCAAGTCAAAGATGATCTTCTACTCTGACTTGGGTTTCTTGGTCTCTTTGTTTTCTTTGTATCCTAGTATACCAGGCCATTCCCGAGGCCTGCTGAAGACAGAGACCAGATAACTTTCCCTTGCTTAAATATTCTTTCCCTTGGGGTGGGAATCTTTTGTTCTCCCTTCCCCCTTCCATGGAATATTATCTGGCTAAAAATGGAATCCCAGTACCAAGTGGCATAGTCTTACTAGTCCAATCACTTTTGGACTTATAGGACAAACAAGTCTGTTTACAAGTCATTAAGTTGATCACCCAGTTGTTAAGGCTTCAGCGGGGGAGGGCATCAGTAATGGCTCATTAGCACATTAAAAACAGTCTCATGCTTCATATTTCTAACTTTACATACAAGAATGATACGTGCACCAAACAGGATACGCAAACCCAGCAGAAAGTAACATTAAAATTGATAGGTTACATTAGGTATTTCATCTAAAGCATCTCTGAGTTATGCATATTTATATTCATAAGCCAATTTCATAAAGCATGTGGAGGGGAAACGTAACAAGAGGTACAATCTTAACTGTGACCACAGCTATATCAGAATAGATGGGCCTTACACTTCTACAGCTTATTCACCTTCCAGAACAGGAATAGCTATACCAGTACAAGCACCTTTATAGTGGGATAACTGTATCCTCACTAGGGTTGCAGCGAGGAAGAGAAAAAACTATAACAATTGTCAGAGAAGGTTTCAGCACTTATTTACCCCACGGTGGCTACGTCTACACTGGCCCCTTTTCCGGAAGGGGCATGTAAATTTCACGAGTCGTCGTAGGGAAATCCGCGGGGGATTTAAATATCCCCCGCGGCATTTAAATAAAAATAAGAGTAAGAATAAGAGCCTCCGGAAAAGGGCACTTTTTCCGGAGGATCGGGGCCAGTCTAGACGCTCTTTTCCGGCTTTTTTAAAAGCGAAGTAGGAATAAGACCCTCCGGAAAAGGGCACTTTTTCCGGAGGATCGGGGCCAGTCTAGACGCTCTTTTCCGGCTTTTTTAAAAGCCGGAAAAAAGCGGCGGACATTTTTATTTAAATGCCGCGGGGGATATTTAAATCCCCCGCGGATTTCCCTACGACGACTCGTGAAATTTACATGCCCCTTCCGGAAAAGGGGCCAGTGTAGACGTAGCCACTGTGTTTAACTCATTTTCTGGGGTTAACCAGAATTCAAGTTGATGTTCTTTGAAAGCACATAAAAAAAATAGTAAGCAAGAGAATTTTGCTGGATACCTTGCAGCATTCTTAAAATGAAGTGGAAGAACTATAAAAAGGAACACCACAAATCTTGTAATAGCCAATCTTTATACTGA